ATACGATTGTTCGGAATGGAAAGTTATATTGATGTAGCAAGTTTCATGTCCATCCGAAATATATTGAAAAAGTTTATATCAAATGGCCGATTTTTGGGAAGAGCTGACCCGGCGTGATACAAACTTCGCCAATATTATAAATACGTTATATTATTATGTATTTTATTTAATTATTTTTGTGGCGTTTTCTTCATTGACATTGTAAAAATTTGGAAAATTGGTCAAACCAAAGAAATGTCTTTATTTAAATTTATAGTTATATTAGTAAAATGACGTTTTAATTTCTTAACATTTTTCGATTTATGGAAAACATTAAAGTATGATGTACAATAATATCCAAAAGAATGATTCATTTCACTATTTTTACTTGAAAACACTTTATAAGGACCTATTAATCTAGTCTAATGAGTAAAATGTCTGACTATGATATCATGTTTGAATTGTATTTTTAAGGTGGTCGGGTTTTCAACATAACCACAATTCCAGAACAGCTTCCTGTTGACATAACTGTTGTTTCAACCCAAAAGGAATGTGACAAGGCAAGTGCAAGCCCAGGAATTACGACAGCATATCAACGAAACTGGAAAATTGTTTCTCCCATGTATGTGTTGGATGCAAAAAATGGCGAAGATTTCGCGTTGGAAAACTATTTACTGTCCGTGGATAAAATCCAGGCAGCTCCAGGAACCTCTGCTGTCCACACTCAAGTGACCACAGTGGCAGACACTCATTTCAAACGTTGTGGTGCTTTCAGAGATCTGAAGAAAACATTATATTGTAGAGCAGACGGAATTGAAAGAACATGTAAACCAACTGAACAACCTTTAAAGAGAAGTCACCATAAAAAAAGAACGGCAGCACTGAAGAAACCGCCATCGGCCTTCGCAATGTTCATCAAAGAAAGTGTGTCTGCCAACCACCATGATTTGTCATTCAAAGAGTTACAATCAGTTTTGACTGAAATGTACAACTCTTTAACTGATGAAAGCAAAGAGGGTTACCGGCAAAAAGGCTATAGTTATTTTGAGGAGGTGAATAAAACATTCAGTTAAGATACCACTGTAGATGGATCTGTGGACAACGCTGTATGCAACTATTGTAAATAGTTGGTAAATAACTAGCCAGTATATTTGTAAATAGTTTGTAAATAACTAGCCGCTATTAATTTGATCTCACCCCGTTAATACGGCCACCCTGTTAATATGACAGTATTAACAGGGCTTCACTGTGGACTGTAAATAACTAGCCAGTATTTGTATAGTTTGTAAATAACTGGCCAGTATTTGTAACTAGCCTCTATTATATCATACTTCAGCCTTTTGAATTATGGTTTTTAAGGTGCATCACTACCAAATAGAAACAATTAGCATAATTCTCAATGCTTTAAACACTTTAATAGTTTTAATCTTAAACACATTGAGTTCACAGATCTTGAAATATGTTTTATTGATTTTCCTAGTTAGGTTTTCAAGTTAAAATGGTTGTATGTAATCTGCCTCAAAAACCATCATTCAAAAGGCTGAATTTAACACTCAATTTTTGAATAAATTGAATTAGTAAGATAACGGTCAATAGTCAAATGTACAATATGAGCACAAAAGAATGCTGGAAATAAACATTGTTTTTAACCCATTAATGACCAGTACTCTCGCACTGACGAGTAAAATAGTCTGGCGTTAGACAGAGTAAATACTAAAGTAGGGCTCATTTCGCGTTAATGGGTTAACAAGAGATGTGGGCAGATAGGCTTGTTAACCCATTAATGACCAGTACTCTACCACTGACGAGTAAAATCGTCTGGCGTTAGACAGAGTAAATACTAAAGTAGGGCGCATTTCGCGTTAATGGGATAACAAGAGATGTGGGCAGATAGGCTTGCTAACACAAGATGTGGACAGCTATGTAGGCTTGTTACCCATTAACCACCAGTGCTGTACCACTGACTAGTAAAATTGCCTGGCGTTAGACAGAGTAAATACTAAAGTAGGGTGCATTTGGCGCATTGCTCGTTAATGGGTTAATATACAATCTAATATTTAAATCCAAAGTTTCAGCCCCATATCTATAGTCGTTCGCGAGATATAAAGGGTGCATTAGGGCGCATTGCGCGTTATATGGGTTAATATTCTAAGTGTTAATTGAATATGGTAAAAAAGGAAATTAGACTTTTATATAAACAATCTTTTGTTTAAATAGTTACCTAATTGAGTATAAAATGAAATACTACTGTGACCTAAAACAGAGCATGAAATTTGCGACATCATGCAATTGGTTTCCCAAAACATCAAGATGAAATGTTACCATTTGTGACAGAATACTATTTTCTGGTTTTGCAATATAAATTTTGAAATTCAGGTATTCCATGCATTTATGAACAAAATTTTTATGCAATTCGATAATGATTTCAGTTTTGGTTCTAATTTTAGTTTCGAAAGAGAGGTTTTTATCTTTAATAAACATTAGATTCCATGCCCTGGCCTAACAGCCAATCTATATATGATATGGTTCTTATACTTGACTGTCATCTTAATGCTTGATTCAACAGCAAACATGCAAAGTAAGAGAGGATTGGTTCATTGACCTCACATCGAGTCAAAATATTGCTCTACATTCAAATAATTTCAAACACAGGAATGACAATTACATGAAAAGATTCTAGACGGCCCTTGAGGCATTCCTATTCTAACGACATATGTCAATTTTGTATATCTGTTCTATATCTATTATTTTTCATTTAAAATCCAAATTGGAGTATAATGTTCTCCATTTGTTCTTTCCCCTCTTGAACAGCCTTACGACATTCCACCCGGTACAAGGAATTAAAAACACACTGTGATTGCGAAAATTTTGCAACTAAATTAAGACAAAGCTCATTAGATCTTTTTACATGAATTTCAGTAATAAATTTATAAAAAGAATCCTCTCTTCTCCCAACCTTGTAATCCCACCCTTTCCCCATTATGGTGTCAAGAAACTCAAATTCCCCATCACCTACAAGTGTGAACTTGCGCACACCTAGCATAGAAAAAAAATAAAAATCTTATTGTCCAACAGCACATCAGATGGTCCCAGACTAATTCTCATACAACTAGATTTCCAAAACCTCCTTGCAACCCAACACGCATAGCATGACCTAAAACTAGTTTCCTCGTTTTAACCTTGACACTACTATCAACACCAGACAACATAAAATTACAAAACTCCACAAATGCACTCTGTTCCACCTTCTCTTGGACCGAACCCTTCAAACTGACCTTCTCTCCGACATAATCAACAACATAACTAACACTACAAGTAATGACAAAATCCTCCCTTAAACCCGAGTTATGAATCTTAACTAATTTAACAGTGATGCAACCATCTAGAGAAAACATCCTAAAAATAATAAATGGTAATCCTACACCTTCAACAGAAACAACATCTCCTATCCTTAGCCACATACCATCCTCTCGAAGAAAGTAAACAAATAAACAGTTAAGTTCAGTTCCGGTTTGTCCCTCTTTATCTGCACCTTCTTCTGTTTGGCACAAATCAGTGGCTGGCACCAGTTCCTCATTGTCTTTTTCTTTGACCTGTATTTTCCTTTTCTTGGCCTTGCATTTTTCTTCATTTCCTTGTAGCTTGGAGGTGGTGCTGGCAATGGGTACAGGTGGAGAGCAAAGTTCATGATTTCTCACTGCTTTCTTTTCACCATCTCCCAGTTCAACCTGTGGAGAGCAAAGTTCATGATTTCTCACTTCTTTCTTTTCACCATCTTCCAGTTCAACCTAATCAGCAAAAACATTGACATTAACAAGAAGGAAACATTTAGCTTTCTTTAAGTATAAACTGAATTAAATTTATGTAAAGTAACCATGGTGTTCCGGTGTACTTTAGTCATAAAATATTGGCAGGGCTGATTATCAGTGATTCTACATAATAAATCTATTTATCAATACCGGCCATTGGCTATCTACAATATCGGCCGACAGTGCAAGCAGCCCTTGTCAATTGTGTGTTCCATTTATGATTCAAATAATTAGTTGATATCGATTTGGATAAAATCTGTTACCTATGGTTTGAGAAATTAAAGTTTATTTATTAATAGTAACAGAATACTTTTTATTCGAATATAGGCTATATAGCAGTGTACTTACAATAAGCTTTCCTCTTATCGGATCCACTTGGACAACTGTCACTTCCCCAGCATTGAGAATAAAAGTTTTGTCGCCACTTTGCAGTCGTCTCAAATTGTCATGCTATAAAAAAGTCAGACAGTTTCAAACTATCACTATAGACTAGTTTAGCTTGATGATAACATTAAACAGGCAATATCTCTCAGGCAAATTCAAGACTGAGTTAAAATCAAAAACTATTTATCAGGAAACTTATATGTAGAAGTAATTAATATTCTAAGCTGTCTATATCTTTTTAAATTTTTAAACTGTAATGACATTGAAAAGCCTAGTAGGGAATTCCTCAATAAAGTTTATATGTCTATTCAGTAATTCAACATAGCAGAACACATAGTGGCCATGTGGCTATCTGAAAACAGCACAATAATTGATCTTGGGCAAATAACAAGGAATGAAACTTTCAAACGTACGATTTGTGGTTGTCTAGATCTTTTCTTTGGAAGCTAGCTCAATTACGGTTTCTGGTCGGCTATTTTCTTTGCTCGTTATCCTATCCCACATGCTTCCGAAACCATCAAACGAGACACGGAAATTCTCACTATCTAGTATGCCAACAATCGTTGCTTTTGCCCACACACCGAACTCGTCCAGACCCTCAATCTTGTCACCAACATTAAAGGAGTTCATTCCGCAAAGTAAGTCGCTTTGTTTGAAATTTTTAACTGCGGAATATGGCTTAAAATATACCGAATACTTTCTATGTCAAAGTGTAAATATTAGTCTTCCCGAAAGAAGATCCTGGGTACAAGTCACGCCCAACGTCACAGCGTTCAGCCAATCATAATGCAGAAGCAATTAATACAGTATAACCCATACGTCACAGCTCGCATAAATTACACATTTTCTCCGGGCGCGTGTCGTAATGAATGCGCCTTAAGAATCGCTTGTATAAGAAGTTTCGTCGATTTTCTACTGAAGCGAACTGGTTAAATTACAAAGTACAACGTAATAAAGTAACATCGTTAAAAAGGGATGCAATTAAAAACTACTGTTTCGATGCGGCTTTTTGCACATCGTCTCGTTCTGTCGGCCAATTTTGGAAAAAAATGAAACCTGTGCTACCGACCAGCAAATCTAGTGTTGACATTTCAGTAATAAATCTATTGGAAGAAGGCAAAGTCGTAACTGAGCCTAGTGCTGTTTTTAATGATTATTAAACCAGTTGTTGAGGACTCTATACTGAATATGTCTGAGCAGGATTTCATGAATCATATGAGTGTAAAGTCGATTACGAATCGTTGTTATGACTTTGACATCTCTTTCCAACACTGTCTATATTACAGATCTATTCAGGCTCAAATCTGAATGAAAGAAAATCCACTGGTCCTGATGGAATTTCTCCCAAGCTTCTGAGAATATCTGCTTCTGTTATCGCCGAACCGTTAGAAAACTTGTTTAACTATTGTATCACAAAATGTCCATGGCCAAGGGAATGGAAGTGTGGTGATGTTACTCCGGCTCATAAAAAAGAAGAGGTGACCAACAAGAAGAATTACAGGCCAATTACTATTTTATCCGCAATATACCAAAACTGTTTGAGAAAGTTTACTCTTTCTCAGCGGGTACCATTACGCGTAGAACGTGCAGGATCTATGGATGTTTTCGTTGATATCTTAGATTCAATAAACGCTATGTCGTTGAAAATACCACCATTCGATTCAGTGTAAAAATATGTACTTATTCATAACAATAGTTTCAGTCAATGGCAACATTATAGCGATTTATGAGCTTTCAAAGTCAAGCGAGCTCGTATATGATCAAATTACGCAATATTACTAACAAATTATAAACATAAACATACCTTTCGCCGAACATAACTTCGGCCCTTTGAGATGTATACTCATTGTGACACTCTTGTTCGATTAACCATTCGAAATGCTGTATACTGTCTTATTTTCAAAGTTCTATCTGTAAATTCTAGCCATTTATTACCAGATTTACATTTCTGGTCCGAGTTTGATTTTATCCAAACCGGAAATACGACTTAAAAGTGTCGAAACAATGCGATGTTTGTATCGTATGACTGTGGAGAGGTCAGAAATGGATTCTACAGGTCAAATTGCACCTATACGCGTGAGTTTGACGTCATCCCGGCTAAAGGAGCTCCTTATTGGCCATGTATTACGCAATACATGCGCGTGCCAGTAAAACCCGATATCCTTGAAAAATTCAAAATAAATATTTTTATTTTTTTTCTTGCGGTCCGAAGTCATATTTTACGCTTTTCTGCAATCTGATTGGCTACGTGAGCGGTCCGTATGAGCCCATACGGACCGCGCGAGATTTAAAGCCGTAGAGCCAATGTTTTTATTTTTCAAAATTTAAAGACGAGTTTAAAGTCTACTTTTTAAAACATTAAAATGTTTGCAGACGATGAAAAATACAGTGAAAACGAATTTTACTATCTCACAAAAGATATTTCTCTTCCCGATAGCATTGATAGAAACGACGTTTTATTTGACAGCTTCATTCGCGTGCGGGAGGAGTGATTGGGGAAATCCAGAGGAGGAATTAAAAAAAATAAAAATATTATTTACCGGTATGGTCGGTCTGTATAGAGAAATATTTCTCTCGGTCTTAAAAACGTCCCTCGGCCTTCGGCCTCGGGCCGTTTTTAAGACCTCGAGAAATATTTCTCTATACGGACCTCCAATCCGGTAAATAACATATATCTATTCGCTGTATTCATACGAAACTTTCTACACGAAAGCGCTTGAATACAAAGAATCTTTTACTCATATAGGCTTTTAGAAAATGACAAATAGTTTAGAAAATATTCAACTTTTTCTCGATATATCGAACAGAATGTTTGGTCAAGCGGTGAGTATAAATATATGATTGTTTTGGTTTGTGTAATGTTATGACGGCACTTGACCCCCCGTTCGAAAGGTTATTTCGAGAGGATTTCAATGGTGCGTTTTGTTTTAAAGGGGGGTAAATACTCGCTGAGATATTTACATTAGAAACATTGACTCGTAATGTAATGCGAAACCTGCTGTCGGCAAGGGCGGCTGAGAAAAAGTTTTAAATTTGACCAGCTATACGAAAAATTTGCCCCAACATTCTCGGAAAACATGTCGGGTTTTCTCCGCGGTCATTCGTGTGCCACAGCTCTAGTCAAGTTGACAGATGATTGGCGTGATTTGAATGAATGAATGAATAGTTTGTTTAATAAAAACATCATCTGGCAGTCAGAAGACTGAATTACATGACGTTAAGTGTTACAAGGTTATAAATAGTAAAAAATTCTATATTACAATGCAATTTAAAAATTGTTAATATATACTATATATCATATACTTGAATGTACTAATCTATATGAGTTAAAAATTCTAAAATGTTCAAGGAACATCTAATTTGTAATGTTTCTTAGCATAAAAGTTGATAAAAGAGTTTCCGAAACGATTTGTATTAGCTGGTAAAACTTCAAAAGATCTTTCTTTTCGTAATTCTCTATTGCCTGCTTTGGATGGTAAAAGTTTGGCAAGTTTATGATCATCATTTAAAACAATGTCGTTCAAGAGATTATTGGATAGATACTCCCGTCTGTTTTCAAGAGTGGAAATACCAGCGATGTTAAGAGCCTCGTCGTAAGACAATTCATAGAATATTATTTTCATTGCTCGCTTCTGTATACGTTCAATGTTTTTTGCAAGATTTCGTGGCAGGGAACTATGGAATAATTGGCACGCATATTCGAGGACAGACCTTATACAGTTGCAAAAAAATTTGACCAAATCTGCCGAAGCGACATCAGCACGTTTGAGTTGCCTCAACAAATATAAACGTTTAGCTGCTTTGGAGACAATTGAATTTACATGGTCTATCCATTTAAGGTCATTTCTTAATATAACTCCAAGCGATTTGATATTTGTCACTCTTTCCAAATTTCGGTCACCAATACGTATAGGTTCAAAAACAGGTGGTAATCGTGAAAAAGATATTACCATTTCTTTGCATTTAAATGGGTTTAGTTGAAAGGAATTGTCCATAGACCAAGTAGTAATATCATCGATATCCATTTGTAA